ATCAAGCCATTACCACAACAGGCCAGCTCCGAGGGCACGAGGGGACCCTGCCAGAAGTATCCTTCATGGACGACGCGACATTCCTGTGCGCACTCAGGGATAACACGAAAATCGAGAGCAGCATCTTTGATATATTGTCCAGCATTGCGAGGAGACTAAAGATCTTCGGGCACGACCTACACCCCAAGAAGACCAAAGTTCTGCTGCATATAGACGGGCACGCCAAACAACATATCAAGGCGAGGATTTTCAAGACAAACCCCATCACGTTGCAACGCGAGGACTGCCAGATGCTGACCAGCATTGATGCCACCACCGCTGAGGCCACGTCTCAGGGACTCACATTGGGCAATATTGTGGCAAGTGACGGCGGTGAGGGACCGAACCTTATGAGACGCATCATCGATCACAGATCCGCAGAGGGGCCCTTGAAGAAGTCCATCTTCCGTCTGCCGCACATCGACCTCAAAGCCAAGATGCTGTATCTCACGGCACTGGCGCAGAGCAAGATGACCCACGACTGCGAAGTATGGGGGCCGCTGACAGTACAGCAGAAGCAGATGCTGCAGAGCAGACACATGGCGAGCCTTCGAGCCGCCGCGCGGCAACAGCGTCACGGTGCGGGGCACGCACATACTTTGGACGACGAAATATACTTGATATGCGATGAAGTACCGATCCACATGTACCTGCGCCGACGGCGCCTGATGTACCTGGCCAGAATGGCGCATGCGGACACGCCCTTCCTCCACCGCCTCATCGACGAGCTGTGGGAGGACAGTAAAGCCTGGAATGTACTTATCGTCGAGGATCTGGATTGGATAAGAAGATTCCTACTAGACGACGAGGACATTGGCTGCGACATCAGGGGCCTTGTACGATGGTTACGAACACAGCAAGAGCAAGCCGCACAAGCCATGATTACGCGTGCATGGCTCAGGTACAAGTCATGGCAGCACGACTTATATCGGCATCGGATATGGCAAAGGCAGTTGCACCGGCTAGCGCAAGACTTTGGACTGACCACGCCCAACTTCGATGGACGGCCACCTGCACAACAGTGGCTACATATGCTATGAGTGTGGCAAGATCCTAAAAACTCGGGGAGCATGGAAGCGCCACCGCACCATGGAGCACATCGGCTACGACCTCCCCGAATTGCTCGCCCGTTCGACAACCTGCCCTGGGTGCGGGAAGGACTTCATCACGCGATCGCGCATACTCAAGCACCTGAGAAGGTGCCCCAGGTGCCTGGCTGTACTCCAAGCAATTGAAGACCCAATGGATTTGCAGGAGGCAGCCGAACGCCGAGAAGAAGAACGAGAGGCGGTGGCGACGAGGAAGGCAATGGGTCATGGAGCTACTAAGGCGTTGGTGCCTGCTCAACAGGTCATACACATCAAGCTCGCCGACCACATCGAACAGCATCAGCTCCAGCTCTCGACTGCGCCGCCCGCAGCAGCGGCCCCTCAAGCAGTGGCGCCACCAGCAAGGACATTCGCACCGTGCAGGCCCATGGTTACTACTGCTATGTTCTCACTGCACCTTTTTTCAGGCCGACGCCGAACGGAGGATTTCCAGCACCACTTCGAGACGATCATTCGGGAATGCAATTTGGTAGTATTATCGATCGACGTGCAGGTAGACCCCGACAAAGGAGACTTGATGAAGCCAGACGTCGTCGAGTTTTGGTGCGCGGCGATACGACAGGGCAAAATTTTCGGCATTGCAGCTGGCCCCCCCTGCGAGACGTGGTGCTCATCGCGCTGGCATGCCGCCGAGGGAAAAGCTCCACGCCCACTGCGTACACACCATTTCCCCTGGGGCATACAAGCAGCCAATCAAGCGGAGCTTCAACAGATAGCACTAGCCAACGAGCTATACAGGACAGCTCTACTACTCACCACCACTGGCTTGCAGTACAATGTATCCGCCGTACTCGAGCATCCTGCTCCAGCTACTTGGTGTCCTCAAGCGCCGAGCAGCTGGCAGCGAGCGGAGACGCTTTGGCTGTTGGAGCAGACGAACGTCGAACTGCACTACATCGACCAGTGCCAGTTTGGGCAGGCCGCGCGAAAGCCAACATGTCTGATGGCGGTGCACCTCAGTGAACTCACACAAGAGCTTGGGGCAGTACCTGGGGGACAGCTATGCCGACATAACGGACACGGCAGAGCTTGCGGGCGAGACGGCCAGGGCGGCTGGAGGACCGCCCCCCCTCAAAGAATATCCTTCAAAGTTGTGCAAGGCAATGGCAACGGCATTCGCAGCCCATTGGGGGCAGCTCGCTGACGAAGAGGCATTGTGGGCCGAAACGGATGAATGCTATCACAGGTTTTATGCCCCCCTGGACTATTACGTCGAGCCAGAGCAGCTGGGCCACGACTGTCACAGGACATGGGGTATCCAACGGCGCTAGCAACTGATGCTGCAGCGCGCGGCACTACGACTGCCTGCACAAATATTTGGGATAAATTGTTGTCAGTATTATGTCATAGTTGCCAATCCACGGGAGGGACCATCAGATTGCAGATTGGTGCACAGATTATTGGCAGCTTACAGATTGGATGGCAGTTTATATGACAGAATGGTGCACAGTTCGGTAATATTACAGAGTGGCAGCAGGCGAGGGAGGGTCAGTGCACCTATTGTATGTACTCAAACTGGGAGTGACCTGCGAGGTTATTTGTCTATCAGCACGGCTTCGTCACGGACTGCGATTGCGTGCCATTCTCGAGGGGGGGGGACCCGTAGCGCCCATACGGGTGGGCACGATCCCTCAATGGCGACGGAGCGTGCCCCCCCTCGAGTATTTTTACTAGATTTTATTGGCTTTCTTTCAACTCTGGCATCCGCTTTCTATGAGTATCTAGCGCCCTGGGTAAGGGCAGCATGGCGCCCAGGTCCCACCGTATATGTTGACATCCCTGGTCATCTCTTGGCAGGCGGGCAGCAAGACCGTCGAGAGTACCTCGGACCCGCGCAACCATCGCAAGCAGGTCAAGCAGTATCAGCGAGCAGCATGTGGGAGCCGAGCATCCCAGTCCAGTGCAGCGTGGAGTCAAGCACCATCATGTCGACCAGTACGTTTGGGCCAAGCACATCATGTGGTGGTGCTACTGAGACAAGTATGACTACGGGCCCTATGCTGCACTATTTCGAACACCATAGGCATGGGCACGGTCACTGTGGATACGGCAGTACATTCGTGGCAAAGAGCTTCCTCGGCGACAAGCACTACGGCGTCACGGCTTAAGTCCTGAGGAAGCCCCGATTGCGTGGGAAGACCTCAGGCAGCGTCGCCAAGTTTTGCTTGGGTTAGGACGCAAGTCCTGGGGAAGCCCCGAATGCGAGGGAACACCCCAGGCACAGGTCGCTACGTTTTGCTGTGGGTACCCTGGCGGTGACTGGTTACATACAACTCGGAGGACACCAGCTGGCTGGAAGCGGGCGGTCCACACGTCGCCGTCGCACTACTGACCGACACCGACATCATACCCAGCACGGCCCCGCACACCTTTTGTCAAGTCAACACTGCCCTGGTGAGGCATGGATCAAACTTCGAGACGGGCCCGAAGGGTGGGGGGGAAGGACGAGTACTTCCCGCGCCCACCAGGGGGGATGGTGAGGGGCAGGGGGGGGGGGGTAGGACGGCCACTACCTGCGCCCCCGCGGTCCGCCCTAGCTCGCCACCCCCACCATTCCCATGGAGAAGGAGGAGCTACCCGAGCGCCCGAGGGCGAAGCACAGGACAGCCGAGACATCCCACTCCGACAATAATAAGTACCAGGCCTGGGGTTCGCCCCCACCGAGGGCACTGTGACCCCTAGCCATAGCGGGACGAGGTGGGACAGCCAAGACCCCCACTTGAAGTCGGTGCATGGAGGCCATGGGCGCCCACGACCATCAATACAACACCAGCAACGAGCCGACTCCCCAACGACCCAACCAGCACGCTCCACAACCCACACTCAGCCAACAAACAAACGACCGCCACACCACAACCACTCCTACATCAGCGCCTACCTGTACTGTAGCGTCGGGGGCGGCATGATTGAGGGCATTGGATACTACAGCTGGTCGAGTACCATGACGACCAGCATGATTGGGCATGGCATACGCAGGAGTACCATCTCGACCAGCACGACTGGGACGAGGGATACAAGTTCGAGCACTACAGAGTCAAGCAGTACTGCAGGCTCGAGCACATCAGAGACTACTCGAAGAGAAGGGGCAGCTTGCCCCTCGGCGTGGGATACACAGCGCGAGGCGCCGAAGGGTGTATCCCCGCCGCCCTCGCGTGGCATGCGAGGGGCCGAGGCCAGCTGGCCCTGATCGGCACGAGGAGGAGAGAGCAGCCGCCAGTGCAGGCCTGCTGGAGCCCACGAGTGGCTCGGCGAGCCTCCACAGCGCGCTGCGCCGAAGGGTGGAGGCCGCCACTGCTGGGGGCAGCCAGCCACCCGAAGACGCCCCCACGGCGGCTGGGCTCAGCGCGCGGCGCCGAAGGGAGCCCAGCCGCCACCGTGCGGCCGCCGGCCCACGAAGAGGCCGTCGGCCTGGCCGTGCGCCGTGCCGCGCTGCCTGACGCCCGCGGGCGCGGGCGCGCGCGGCGCCCGCCCATGGGCCTGACGGGCCCCTCTTTTTTCTGAAACCCGGCCCCCTCCTCCCTCCTCTGAGGTTTAATTCTGGTCCCTGGTCCTCCCTGCTCTCCTCGGGGTCGGGTTCCCGGGGCCGCTGTTCGAGTGCCCGCACGGCCCTTGTGGGCCGCTGCGGCGCGCTCCGCGCCGGCGGGGCGCGCGACAAGACGCTGTGTAGCGAGAAATGTCAGAAATGTCAGGAGGAGGGCGGAGGAGGAGGAGGAGGAGGAGGAGGAGGAGGAGGAGGAGGAGGAGGAGGAGGAGAGGAGGAGGAGGAGGAGGAGGAGGAGGAGGAGGAGGAGGAGGAGGAGGAGGAGGAGGAGGAGGAGGAGGAGGAGGCCCTCGCCTCCGCGGCGGCGGCTCCTGGGAGAACTCCTCGGAGCCGACGCGCAGCACGACGTGGCTCGTGCCGCCGGCGGCGTGCAGCGGCACCGCCTGTGGGCGGGGGGCGCGGCCCCGTCCCGGAGAGAGGGGCGGCCTCGGCGGGCCGCCGTCGGCACGGCCTGAAGCTGCACGCGGCGATGCACGTCGGTCGGCGTTGGTGCCGCGAGGGCCCCTGGTCGAGAAGGGGGCCTCGGCGGGCAGTCCTCGCGCTACCAGGGGGAGCTCAGAGTATACACGTCGTTCATCTCTACTCGTGCTCATTTCTGATTCTGCTCGTTTCTCATTGTTCCTAGAGCCCCTGGTGGCCAGGGAGGCGCCTCGGACAGAACAATCAGAAATGAAAGGGTCTTGGATCCCCAACAAATCGAAGAACTTTCGAAGAATTCGAAACGAACAGTGTGAAAGGAACGAAGGGGCGTCTCTGGCCACGTTGAGCCTAGGCCACACATAGGTCCCACGAGACAGATCGAAGGAGCTGTCCGAAAACCCGAGCCCCCCCCCGAGCCCAAAGCGGTCCTTGTTCCAGCGTCTTGACTGTAGGCAGTCACATGCGAACCCTACCCTGAAGTCGGGCCTGTCCCCCTACAGAGGGATCTTCGAGGGAAAAATAAACATAGACAACAGATGCTCAAACATTATCAAAAGATATTCAAAAGAATAGTCCCCAGACAATTTGTTGACTATTTTGGAATATTCCTCCTGTGGAGGCACAGGCCCGACTTCACCCTACCCCTGCAGGCCAGATCTCCGAGAGGACCGCCCGGGCCTCAGAACTCGAGGGATGCCCGCCGCCAGGCGAGCCCCATCACGGGGGGCCGCTGCCCTGACGCCGACGGCACCCCGCAGGGGCGAGCTCTCGCCCTCGGCCGCACATCCGGCGGGTGCCGCCGTAGCATCCTGTGCGCGAAGCGCTCCGCGTGTCGCGCCGCCGGCCGCGGCCCACCACGCCCGGGCGCGACGCGCTGGGCACGCCCCGGCCACGGGCACCCACGTTGCGGGGAGACGTAAGACTCGGGTGATGCGGGATGGCGATGAATAAAAAAACGGGAGTGAACGATTAAAAGAATAGTTTTCTGTTATCTCTGCACAATTTTCGGACTGGAGGAGAACGATTAAAAAAAAATGTTCCAGCCCGCGGCCGGTTTTTTCTAATCGTCATCCCGGGCGCCGCCGCGTGAACACGACCCCCAGTCATTTATTAATCGCCATCTTCCATTACAAGGGACTCGGGTTGGCCTGACGGGGCCATCACGAAAATGACGAGACCCAGTCTGAAATTAGACGCGAGCTCCTGCTGCAAACATCCTACGAAAACTGGAGCTTCAAAACCCAGGGCGCGCTCGTCCAAAAACGTCGGCAAACCCGAGTTCCGGCTCACTCGAGTCTTACGTCGTCCCGAACGTTGAGAGCTTGTCCAGGTCTCCCGTCCACCAAGGCAGAGCGACACGCCACCAGCCTGCAGGTCGCCGTTGGCGCGTCGCACGGGCGGGATCGGCCAGCGCCGAGTAAAGAAATCGCATCGGACTGGAGCGTGCGGCGGATCGACCATCCAATCGGATCGGGCTGGCCGGACTCGGCATCGGAACGGACCGACCGATCGAGATGGACTCTGGCCGACATCGATCTCGGAAGGGATCGACCGATCGAGACGGCCTCTGCAGGCGACGCTGCCGCGACGCGCTCCGCACGCGGTCCTCACCGCAAGCTCTTGGAAGGGGGGGGGGCGCCACGACGGGGGCCCAGCCTGGCCTCGCCGGCGCACCGCGCGGTGGCACGGGGGGGTCATCGGACCGCGCCCGGCGAGCGGTCTCGTCGCAGGGGCGGGGGCGCCGGTGCCGGGACGAGGGGGGACCATCGTCGGCGGCGAGCGAGGGGAGGAAGCGAGAAGGAGGAGACCGTCCCTCAGGAGGCGGCGGGGCTTCTCAGAAGCCTCCGCGCCTTCCAAGAGAAGTTACTTCTGTGTCTTCGGGGACGGCTCAGAAAACTTCTCAGCAGGCCGGGGGACTGCCGACTTCCGAGCCTTCCGAGGAGGGCCGCCGCTTCTCACTTCTCCCCGGGCTCGCCGCCGAGATAGGGAGAGGCTGCCAAAGTCGGGGGGACGCATCGAGCTGGAGTCGGCGATGCCTTGCCGATAGATCGGCGGTGGGCCCGCGGTAGCGAAGCAGCAAATTCCTGGGCGGGATGGGCCATCAGGCTCCCGTCGGCGAGGAGGGGGCGATTCGGGGTCGATGCATCCCTCCCTGAGCCTACCTTAGGCATGCGATGCCCTGACGTTTTCAATGCGGGACCCCTGGAAGTCCAAATCCTTCCCCTGGACTGGTTTTTCATCATGAACAGTTTTTGGATAATCAAGGAGCCCAATAATAGAGACCTCCTAGATAGAGTCGGAGTTGCTGGGGTCGGAGGATCGCGCCGCATCACCGATGCATCGGTGATGCACTGGCGATGCATCGGCGACGTCGGCGATGCATCAGCGACGTCGACGTGAAGCAAATCGGGCTCCACATCAAGCCGCATCGGCGATGCATCGGCGATGCATCGCCGATGCGGCGCGATCCTCCGACCCCACCTGCCCCGACCCCCACCTGGGAGGCCCAGAAGCAAGGCCCCCGGGGGTCCAGCGCCGATCCGAGAAACCCCTTTCGGACCTCCGAGGTTTTATGTTCATGCCATTCTCCGCCGCCCTAAACCTGCCAACGCCATTCCCTGTGCTCTTTTCGGTCTCGCGCATGGCTTTTTCGCCAAATGATCAAGAATGCTCCTCGATGGTCCTCGCTGAAGGAAACATGCGCACGTCCGAGCGATGCCACGTAAAGACGCGAGCACGCCTGGGATGCCACCCCGACGTTGCCCGTGACCGGAGGCCTCCGTCGAGAGGGGGCCCTGGCGGGTGAGCTTCTGCAATTGGGACCGACCGTCCCGGCATTCCTACAGTCCTACCACGAAATGTTCCTAGAACCCAAAAGTGTTCTAAGAACGAAAACACTGCTCTTAGAGCATAAACCCGATGTGATAAAACAAGACAGAGACTCCGCCAGACATGCTCTAAGAACATTCCGTGGGATTCCCAAAAGAGTTCTTAGAACATTGCTTGGTAGGGCTATAGACGAGCCAGGACGCTTCGCCACTGCTTGAGCTGCGGGGGCCCGCCGCGCCGCAGCCTCGCCCTGGCGGCGCACCGCGCGCAGGGTTAGGTCGGGCCTGTCCCCCTACAGGGGGATTTTCGACGAAAAATTAATAAGACCCCAAAATCATGAAAAATAATAAAAAATAATAGTCTGGGAACTATTTTTGGAGTATTTTTTGACCTTTTGGGGGCATTTTTGCTGTATCTTTTATTTTTCGTCGAAAATCTCCCTGTAGGGGGACACGCCCGACTTATAGAAGGCTATAGGCGAGCCAGGACGCTTCGCCACTGCTTGAGCTGCGGGGGCCCGCCGCGCCGCGGCCTCGCCCCGGAGGCGCACCGCACGCAGGGAGGCCGGGCGGCCTCCAGGGGGCGCGCTGCGGGCACGGCGGGGCTCGCGTCGGAAGGACGTCGCCGCTCTGGCCTCTGGCACCGGAGGCCTCACGCGATGGGGTCGGAGGATCAGGCCGCCTCGCCGAGACATCGGCGATGCATCCCTGACCTTCCAGGAGGGCTAAAAAATAGCACCAGGACCTCGATATCTCAACTCCTGGCGAGGTTTTAGGCAGCCCAGATGGGTCTATAGGTCTGGAGGGCTATGTTTTAGCACTCTGGAAGGTCAGGGATCGGCGGTGCATCGGCGGTGCACCGGCGGTGCATCGGCGACGTCGGCGATGCATCGGCGAAGGTCCGCGTGAAGAAAATCGGGCTCCACATCGAGCCGCATCGGCGATGCAGCGGCGATGCGGCGCGATCCTCCGACCCCATCTGCTCGGACCCCATCTAGGAAGCTTAGAGGCACCGCGCGGACCTCGAGACGGTTTCTCACTTCTCGGCTGTCGTGCGGGCTATCCGGTGGGGGGGAGGGGGCTCCGACGAGGCCCCCAAACTACTCTCAAGGGGCCCCCGAAGAAGCATCCAGGGAAACTCTGGCCCACAGCCGGTGGCGGAATGGGCCGAAGGCCATGCGATAGTTTTGTATGTTTTCGGCGGTAACCAGCGGATCGGGGGAGTTGATGGCCAATAGCCCAACCTTGTCGCTGTGGGCAGCCCCACGTGAGCCTGCGCGCACCAATGTTGCACACCCCTTCGGACCTGCGCAGCCGGCAAGGTCAGGGAACCTCAGGAATATTTAATTTTGAGGATCACCCCCCTCTATTCTCGGCGGGGAACAGCTCGCCCGTCCCCCTCCTCCTGCTCCCGCTCCATTCCTTTTCCTTATAAAGAACTCCACCCTGTCGCACCCCGAGGCCAATCCAGTCCAAAGGGCGGGCCGGGCGTTTCGCCTGAGGCGCAATGAATGACCCTGTTGCTAAACAAGTGACAACTGTTTCACGAATGGAGGGCTTGTCGTTTTCAAAATGTGGATCTTGACTTAGCGACGTGCGCGTTCTTCTTACACTTTTACAAGGGTTTTAAAGATTGAGGGCAGTTCGTTTTCAAAATGTGGTTCTCGCTTTAGCGCTGCACACATTCGTTTCCGCATTTTTCAAAAAAAAAAAAAGAGGTTCACGGATTCAGAGCGGCTGGTTTTCAAAATGGAGCTCCGCCCTAGCGCCGCGCACATTCGTTTTCAACATTTGCACGAGTTTCACGGATTGAGGGCGGGTGGTTTTCAAAATGTGGCTCTCGCCATCGCGCCGCGCACACTCGTTGTAAACATCTGCAATGTATTTCACGTGTTGAGCAAGATGTGGCTCTCCCCATTGCGCCGTGCACATTCGTTTCTAAACATCTGCAAGAGTCTCACGGGTTGAGGGCGGGCCGTTTTCAACGTGTGGCTCTCGCCTTAGCGCCGCGCACATTCTAAACAATTGCGAGGGCTTCACGGATTGAGGGCGGGCCCTTTTCAAAATGTGGTTTTCGCCCTAGCGCCGCGCACATTCGCTATTATCGTTTGCCAGAGTTTTATGGGTTCTCATGGTTCACATACCAGAAGCGATGTTTTGGAACGGTTCAGGGTTGTCAGGGCACAGCAGTTACGTTGATTTGCGGTGTTGAAATCAGAGGTATGGCGTTCTGGCACGGCTCAGGATCGCCAAGACGTAACAGTCAGGTTAACTCGTGGCGTTGAAGTCCTGAGGACGGTGTTTTGGCACGCTTCAAGATGTCCACACGATTGTCCCCCAACGGGGCAATTCCCTCAGCGGAAGTGACCCCTTGTAGGGGCCTGGGAAGAGGGATCTTGGATGGAGGGTGTAATTCAACATCGTTGACGAATCTTGTGTTTACACAGGTCCTCCTCCTCCTCCTCCTCCTCCTCCTCCTCCTCCTCCTCCCTTCCTCCTATAATTCGTTTCCACCATTGGGAGGTGGTTCTAAATGTCTAAAACGGTTATCCAAGGGGGGGGCGGGCCCGATAATCCGGATTGTCGCCAGACCCTAGAACGACAATTTCCTTTTCAGCCCGGAACAAACGCGCGCAGTCCACGAGTTGCCAGACGGCACCTTGCGTGAGGAACGAAGCCCCCGTTGGGGCCTCGGCAGCGCCTTGATGCTCGTAAATGGCCAGAAGCAAATAGCGTTGCTTCGAACGGTCTCCGCCCAGGAACGCGGGCAGGAATACCCTGTGAGCACAGGCACACTTTGGGCCCGGCGGCCGTGGTATCCAGTGCTTGCGTGGCGGATTGGGAGCTCTTTTCTATCGACCTAACAACCCCAACCTGTCGGGCGGGGAACCAAAGGAAACGCCTGAGGAGCATGGGGCACTTCCGAGACCAAAGTGTAATACGGAGACAATGCGATGATACGAGTGGTTCAAGATGCGTTCTGGGAGTTCCAGGTTTTGTAGCGGCCCGTGGCCATTCATAAACACTCGGCAATTCGTATCTGGCAGTGCGCCCTCCAAAAAGACAGTCCTGGAACGTATCAATATCATGACTTCTCGTCCATCTGAAGTCTGACCCTACCCCAACATCTTGACACTGTGGCACCTTTGCGTCGCGATGACGTCGGCTTTGGTCTCTGATCGACCTTGAACGCTCGCTGCCTTCCTGTTGCGCAGACTGTTCGATTTCGGCGGGTTCTGAGACGCCGGCGGCGTTCATCCTTGAAGGCCCGCGCTGGGGTCGCGGCAACGCGGCCCGAACCTCTCGTGGGGGATGCCGGGGGCCCTCCGAGCAGGGCCCCGAAACACCCGAACCTCCGACGTTGACTTTTCGCTCCCGGCGTACATCCTCAAATCCGAGGCCCCAAAGCCGCGTGGTGACGGACCACCTAGTGACCCCGGACTCCCCAGCGACCTCACTGCGCGGTCTGCCACCGCATGGTCTTGGGGCCTCGGAGGCCCCGAACGCCCGAGAGGTCCTCGGATCACGACCCGAGTCCCGCAACCGCGTCGTGGCCCCGAAACAAGCACGGACTCGCCACGCGGTGAGGTCACCGTGCCGCCTTTTGGCCCCCCGATCACAAGCGGCCTCTGGGCTTTCCGCTTCACGCCGCCATATTGCCAGCCTCCAAAGGCCACTGGGGCCCTCGGGAAATCCAGGACAAGGGCGCCTGGCCGGGAGGAACGCGAAGCGTGAGGCATAGACAGAACTACTACTGCCACGGATGTGGCTCTTTTGGGAGTGCTGCTTCCGCCGCAGGCCACGGCAGCGCCTCCAGAAGAGGAGAGCCTCTGGGCATCGCACGCCCTGCCCTCAGGGCCCAGCAGACCGCGGTCGGGGAGGAAACACCGGGCCCATTGGGAAGCGGCCGAGACCTCGGGAGCCCACGGGCGAGAGGGGCCGGTGGGCACCGAGGGAGGCGGAGGAGGAGGAGGAGGAGGAGGAGGAGGAGGAGGAGGCGGAGGAGGAGGAGGACAGCGGTCCGCAACTCGACGCTCGAAGGAGGAGGAGCACAAGGGTCCCGAGCTCCAAGCTCGAAGGAGGAGGAGGGAAAGGAGGCAGGGGAGGGGAGGGGCAGGAGCATCGAGGGACTGGGAGGGCCTGGGAGCAGTGCTTCTTGCTGGCCCGCGGCGACGCGGGGCACGAAGCGCTCGGAAGCAGCAGCCCCGGCGCGGAGGAGCCCATGGCGCCTGCAAGCAAAGAGTGGCCAAGAGCGACCGTTGGTGCGCGGCTTCGGTGGGCCGCGGTGTGGGGGGGGGGGGGGGGGGCACGTCCACGCGCGCAGGCTCCCTCAGCCACTGCCTGGGGGGCCCCCCTGCGGGCCCGCACCAGAGGCCGCTCGGGCGAAGGGACACCTCTAACGCGTAGTCGACCAGATGGCGTCGAGGAGCCGACGGAGGCCTGGGACCGGGACCGGTCTGCGAGGAGACTTCGAGCGCGGGAGCCTCGGGCAGATGCCAATGGGCTGTTCCGCAAGACGTTCCCGCCGCCACGGCCTTCGTGTAGAGAGAAACAGCACATCGGCATGACCACCAGCCTGCGGAGGTCCTCGCGGGTTTCGGGGTTCGGCGCTGGAGCCCCCTCCCTGGCGCGCGGAGCGCGCCATCGGCGGCGCTGGCGGGGTCCAGGGCCCATCCACGACATCCGCGCGGGCCTCCGAACGTGTGTGTCAGTGTCGAATTTTCTTCGCCGAGCTTGTTCCTACACCCTGTCCGCATCGCACACGAGGGATGCCAAAGCGTGCGGACGACTGCTCCAGGCCTGCTCGAGACGCCGTCAGGGCGGCTGGGGAGGGTTCAGGACGAACCCCCCCGGGACGCGCGCTCTCCAGAAATCATCGGACACAGAAGTGTCGCCTCAGCGATCCTGACGATCTCGCCCCTGCTTCTTCGGGTGCAGAGAGGAGGGAACACCCTAGAGACCATTCTTTCTCATTCGCGAGAACGCCCGTGACTGGCCCCGCCCCACCGCCCCCCCCCCTGGTCACGTCACGGCTCGCGCCGGCGCTGTCTGGGAAGTAGCCATTCTTAAACACAATCCCAGGCGGCGCCATCGCGAATCGTGACACGTTCGGCCCCCTCCCCCGGGCTCCGCTACTGGAACCTTCGGTGGAGCTCCTTTTAAAGCCACGAAGCGCATGAGGGGCGTGCCGACATGGGTGGCGGGACCGCATGCGGACTGCGCCACTGGGACCTTCGGTGGAGGTCCCTAAGTATGGGGCCACAAAACGTGCGAGGGGTGTGCCGAAGTGGGTGAGGGGACCGCATACGGTCTGCGTCACTGAAACCTTCGGCGGAGGTCCCCATGGGCCACGAAACGTGTGAAGGATGTGCCGAAATGGGACCACGTGCGGGCTGCGCCACTGGAAAATTTGGTGCAGCTCTGTATGGGGCCACGAAACGTGTGAGGGGTGGTGTGCCGAAACGGGTGGCGGGACCGCATGCGGGCTGCGCCAGTGGGACCTCCGGTGGAGCTCCCCATGGGGCCACGAGACACGTGAGGGGTGTGCCGAAATGGGTGGCGGGAACGCGTGCGGACTGCGCCAGTGGGACCCTCGGTGGAGGTCCGTAAGAGATGTGCCGAAATTGGTGGCGGGACCGCCTGTGGGCTGCGCCACTGGGACCTTCGGTGGATCTCGAACGTGTGAGAGGTGTGCCGAAATGGGTGGCGGGACCGCATGCGGGCTGCGCCACTGAGACCTTCGGTGGAGGTCCTTACTATGGGTCCACGAAGCGTGTGAGGGATGTGCCGACATGGGTGGCGGCACTGCATGTGGGATGCGCCACTAGGACCTTAGGCGGAGCTCCCTATGGGACCACGAAGCGTGTGAGGGGCGTGCAGAGATGGGAGGAGGGAGGGGGGGGGCAGAGGCGGGAGAAGTGAACGCGGAGCGCTGTCTCTTCAGAACCAAGACCCAACACCACACGATGGTTGGGAAAATACCGAGCTCCAGGACTGTCAAGACGGCGAAGCAACACGTGCTCCAATAGGACCGGCCCGAGGAAGCCAAACAGGAGCCCGACAAGACGGCCCCGCCAGGCCTCCAGAAGAGGAGGGGCAACAGCAGGGAGAGCGGAGGGGGAGGATACTGAGAGGGAGGGAGCAGGGGGGAGGAGGGTGGGAAAGCAGCAGGGAGGGAGGAGGGGTAAGACACCGAGAGGGAGGGAGGAGGGGGAGCAGGGGGAAGCAGCAGGGAGGGAGGAGGAGGGTGGGCAGCAGGAAGGGAGGAGTGGGAAAACACCGAAAAGGAAGAAGGGGGCCGCCTTGGTGCTCTGCTCGGCCGCGTTTTTCAGGCTCACCTCTCGGGCGGGTGGAAGCGCCAAGCCCGCCCTGCTCGCGCGGATGGAGCGCCACCGGAGGCCGCGCTCGGTCGTCACCGAACCGGGTAACATGCGAGGCGGAAGTGTATCCATACCCGCCGCTTGGGAAACCGATGTCCCTGGGTCCCCAGAGGATGGATTCGTACTGGCCCCGCCCCCCCCGAGATATCCACAACCAGGGAAGGAATGAAAATGTGCAGTCCCACGGCCCCGTCTCGGTCGTGGCATCGGAGCGTTTGGGATGCAGGCCGCTGCAAGTCCGCCTCGAGCTGCAGCCTGCAGGTCCGACTCTTCGCGGGCTGCCTGCACTCCACAGCCAGTCCTCGAACTTGTGGGAGAGGGCGGGGGGGAGGGCGGTCAAACTGGGTGCGCGCATACCTGAAGGCTGCTGCCACCCCCCTCTCGCCCGCCTGCTCGGAGGACTCGTACGAGCAAAGTCGCCTTCAAATCCACACACTGCCCAAATATCAATGTGCATCTGCTTCCTGTGCTTGTCGCCTCCAATACTTACGACTCCCGCCACCGTCCCAACGAAAACTAGTCGATCTCCAATTTCTGGCACCGCAGACAATCTACCCGCAAGCCACATCCACGAGTAACCATATCAGGTGTCTTGGCAAACGAGCGCCGCCACGCCAGTCCAGGAGCATCGCAAGCTCACGGAGGAGGACCGAGGAAAAGGTCGTCGCTACCTCAGCTGGTCGCCACCAACTTGCTTAGACTTATTCGAGGCTCTGGCTTGGCATGTGAACATGCGTAACGTGTTTGCGCATGTACTGCAACAAACGCACACAGTGCCAGTATACGCATGGTGCTCAACATCTGAAGCACGCTCAACTGATGTTGTTGTCGCAAATGGGTGCGATGGACTGCGCAGATGAACTTTGCACTTGGTGACGGACGTCGGTCGTTCGCTGTGGGGGGATGTGCGCATGCATGTCTGCAAGCTTCCGGAACGAGGCATGCGAAACACTGATCCACTGGAGCATCGAGCGCCGTGACTCGTGGTTTGAAGAACAGGTGCGCCTCCCTCGGAAGAGCTCGAGCACTCTGCCCACGAGCTGTCATCGGCGATCCCATATAAGGGCCCGACCGCTGGCTTTCCCGATCGGCGCAAGGTGGCGTCAAGCGACGCGCACTGAGCAGTGCCATCGTCAACGAGCACAGCTCGGGGCCGCATAACTTGGCGGCGAGCGCGGGGGGGGAAATGAGAAGGGGCGGGCCTTCTCAGAAGACTCGGAAGTCCCCAGGACTTCTGAGAAGTTTTCTATGCCTTCCCCGAAGACAGAGAAAACTTCTCAGAAGGCGCAAGGGCTTCTGAGAAGTCCCACCGCCTTCTGAGAAGGCCTTCTCCTTCTCACTTCCCCCCCTCGCTCGCCGCCGAATAACTACCTTGCCACCGCCCCGCGGACCCGCCCTCACGCGCCGAACAAAAGGCCTGCGGCCCCGCTGCCCGCCGTGGCGTGTGGTCACGGAGTTCGTCGGCCCCGCTGTCCACACTTTGGCGCTGCCCGGTGCGGCGCGGCGCGGCTGCCCCCGACGGGAGGCCCCAGACTCGAGTCGGCAGAAATCGGCAGCCGAGTCGGAAACAGTGGAGTCGGCGAACATCGGCGGGCTAGTAGGGGCCTCCGTTCAGAAATCGATCCCCGGGCCCAGTTTTGATCATCCAGGTGCATCCCTTCCAGCCTGCCTGAGCATCGCGCTGCCACAACTTCACTCCTGGGGCTGCTTGTTGACCTTCTGGAGCCAGCTCTCTCCATGTTGCCAGAATCGGGGGCGTCCAGGAGGGGGGCGTCGAAGAGGGGGGGGGGCGCAAATCATGGCAGGCGGCATGTGCGCGGCCCAGGGGGGCTGGGGACGTATTGAAGTAAGAAGAGGCGCCATGAAATCTGGGTAGAGATCTGGCCCCCGCCATGATATCCACCCTCCCCTAGTCATCACCCCCACTTTGCCGCACTTGACAGAACTCCACCCCATGCCTGATCTTGTGCATCCTGGGCCAATCCTCCAGCGTGTGGTGCCCTCCATGCTCTCGTGCTTCAGCTTCGCTCGTGCTCCACCTCCAACTCTCTACACAGTGCCGATCCCCCAAATCTCGAATCCACTTCCAATTGCAATGCCGTGTGGCAAGCAAGACAAATCAAGGACGCGTTCACTTGTTCATACCATCCTTACCGATTCGCGACTCTTCTGGTTCACGCCAGATGGCCCGTATTATGCGATTACTGTCTTGCGGGACGGGTAAGTACCTTGTCCTGCTGGAGGTCAGCTACTCGACAAGAGGCGTCGGGCACGTCACGGGTCTCTCGAGACCCACATTCCTTCGCCCTTCTGGCCGCCCTCTCCGAGCCTCGAAGTCTGTGCAGCGCCTGGAACGACTGGTATTCAGACACCCCTCGGACCATGACAGAACATCGCTGGCACGCGCGTGCAAACGACCCTTGCCTGCCAAATGCGGTGGGAGGCACATAACTATACAAAGAGGCGGGAAAGTGAAGGGTAACAAGGATACCGCAACGTGCCAGGATCGATACAACATCTGTTGGCCAGCGTCTCGATTGTGTGTGACAGGCCGCCTGCCTCGTAGGTGTTCTGCTCCAAGGTCACCGCGGAACCAGGCCTGAGCTCCGCCGACCCCAGCCGCTGGTTCTGCCTGCCGGCGACCTGCGGGGAGGCCCAATCCGCTGGCGGAGGCCAGGAACGCCGAAGAGCAGCAGAAGCGAAGGCACTGCTCCCTGGCTCTTCGCCATCTACCGTCGAGGCGCCCTGTTCTGGCCATTGGCACCGTATGGGTCGTTCTTAGCTGCCCCGATGCGCAGCACACAACCCTCAGCGTGTTGACACGGAGCTCAACGCGTAAATCGAACGCGTAGGCCTTGCGCGATACGTTCGCCAAACCGCGGGTCAACACTTACTGAACCAACACGCAGAGTGTTCAACCTGGACGTTTTGAACACGGTACGCGTTGCGCTTCAACACGGGCGTATCAGGGCAGCTCAGGTCTGCGTAGATGCACAACAGAACCAGGGGTAGTAGCATCGACGGGCTACGACACTCAAATCAGCGATCCTGGGAAGACTTCGATCTCGCTGACGTGGAGCGGTGCGTGAGCCCTGGTGCGCTGCAAACGCAAATTGTCTCACACGCCGGGCCCACCACAGAAGTTTGGGTGTCGCCATATCCGAACCATGCGTGGACAGTCAAACAAGCAGTACTGACTGTGCGCGATGCATCTTGCACGCGGGATCACGCTTCCACCAAGGCTACAAAATCATGGGCCTGATTCCGACAACACATTTACTTAAGCATGCGTGACAGGATAATTCCCTACCTAGGCTCTGCCTAGAGGGTTCTTACTCTCTTAGCTTAAAGGGGCCGGGCAGTGGAAAGCGCCCCGGGCGGTTCCCCCAGTCCCCGCCCCGCGGTTCCCCCAGTCCCCTGGGAGCTTTAGCTTTAGCTTTTAGCTTTAGCTTTAGCTTTAGCTTTAGCTTAAGCTTAGCTTTAGCTTAGCTTTAGCTTAGCTGTAGCTTAGCTTTAGCTTAGCTGTAGCTTAGCTTTAGCTTAACTTTAGCATAGCTTTAGTTTGGCTTTAGCTTAGCTTTAGCTTTGACTTTAGCTTAGCTTTAGCTTAGCTTCAGCTTTGCTTTAGCTTAGCTTTAGCTTAGCTTTAGCTTAGCTTTAGCTAGCTTTAGCTTAGCTTTAGTTTAGCGTTGGCTTAGCTTTAGCTTAGCTTCAGCTTAGCGTTAGCTTAGCGTTAGCTTAGCTTTAGCTTAGCTTTAGCTTAGCTTTAGCTTTAGCTTTAGCTTAGCTTAAGCTTATATGTAGCTTAGCTGTAGCTTATATTTAGCTTTGTTTTAGCTTAGCTTTAGCTTAGCGTTAGCTTAGCTTTAGCTTTGCTTTAGCTTAGCTTTAGCTTAGCTGTAGCTTAGCTGTAGCTTAGCTGCAGCTTAGCTTTAGCTTAGCTTTACTGTTACTACTAATGCTGCTTTCCTAGGGGCTCCAACTCCTAAGTAGGGTCGCATTGGGATACTTCCGACCAGCAGACGGGGCCACACAACTTTCACACTAAATCCATTTTTAGGGATCAGAAAGCTGCACGCTAATATAACCGGCTTCACTCTAAGCGTTGTCTAAAGCGGTAATAGTCCAGGTCCAAACACCAAACGTATTCTACAAGTGAAGTAGATCCTAGAACGCGCCCAAGATCCATAACACATCCTTGATTATCTCAAGCGAGATCTGGAGTCCATGGGAGTTGTTGTTTTTGTTGTCAAGGTTCCTGATTAGTGTGTACACATCAACCATTCGATTGGCACAAGTTGCGGCCGTGTTTTGTATGGCACCTAATCCCAGCGCCCCCGAACCTCTCGATCCGCTGGGACTTCGCAGGTGAGCCGTGACTTCACCGAAAGAATCACGATGCAGCTGTTTTGGGTTGTATGGCGAACACCAGATAGCAACTGTTGCGCAGGTCATGTATCTTATCGGTCGTGGGCATTGTGTTTCTGCCAAATGAATGAGGGAACCATCCCCATGTGTGAGCTACCGGCAGTGCGCTACAAAACCAATCTAGTAACAAACCAGACGTCCTTTGTCAAGAGACGACGCCACCCCTTTCACACGTTTCTCGAACCCCATCAGGAGCGACAGAAGCTTCGGAGCGCGGGTCCGTCGAGGCCGACCTAGCGCTGCAGCAAGAGAAAAGCGGCGGACGCGGACGCTGCCAGGGAATTGGGCGAGAAATCCTTAGCAAGCCTATGCTCAATAGAAACATGGAAGGCCAACGTGATGCGTCGCAGAAAAAATATGAACAGGAAGTCGCTGGAGAGATCCAAGAGCTAGATGCCACACTCGCAATCCTCATGACTAATCACAGTCACGCCTGCAAACGAAGCCTCTAAGTACACGCACCTCAGAAAGGGGGATCGAGCAGGGCAGGCTGATGGGTCAACGCCTGGGACTGCCTGCAGCAATGCAGCGAGTCCCAGCAGTTGGTGCAGGTCGGGGTGGTTCTTCCGCCGTTGGATAGAGGAAGACAAGAGCAACATACACGTAAACGTGTGGCGCTCCGCGCGGATTTCTTGGATCTGCACGGAGCGCCGACAATTTGCGTAGCACCCCGCAGATGCGGATACGAGTGAGGGGGCGGTGGGAACGTCCGCAGTCTGCGAGACTCCGGAGAAGCCCGCCGCAGGCGCCAAAGTTTCACTAATTATACAACGAGCCCGCCGCAGGCGCCGATTTGGGTAAGTCGCGGGTGGGTCGCAAATGGGTCGCGGGCTGGTCGCTGTTGGGTCGCGGGTGGATCGCGGGGTGGGTCGCGGGTGGGTCGTGGGGTGGGTCGCGGGTGGGTCACAAGTGGGTCGCGGGTGGGTCGCGAGTGGGTCGCGGATGGGTCGCGGGGCGGATCGCGGGTGGGTCGCGGTGTGGGTCGCGGGTGGGTCACAAGTGGGTCGCGGGTGGCTCGCGGGTGGGTCGCGGGGTGGGTCGCGGGTGGGTCGCGTGTTGGGTTGCGGGGTGGGTCGCGGGGAGGGTCGCTGGATGGATCGCGGGGTGGGTCGCAGGTTGGGTCGCAGGGTGGGTCGCGGGGTAGTTCGCGAGTGGGTCGCGGGTGGGACGACGACAACAAACAACAGCAACAACAACAACCACCACCATCACCACCACCACCAGAACAACAACAACAACAACAACAACAACAACAACAACAACAACAACAACAATCATTTTAAGACTGTTCGCCCTTATCTGCTCGAGTGTCGAATAACGCGAATTTCCCAAACCCTCGGTACCCGCCCTTTTCGTCTTAGATCGAACCCCTTTTGGGGGGTATACCTTTCTTCCCTGCAGGCCGGGCCCCGGCAAGCGGCGGGGCGGCCGCGGACCGTCGGCCTGGACAGCGGCAGCGCTGATCGGCGGGGCGGCCGCGGACCGTCGACCCGACCCCAAGAGGGACTGACAGGGGACCGACCACGACGACGACGACGACGACGCGACGACGACGGCAACGACGGCGACGGCGACGACGACGACGACGAGCGAAAGCGAGAGCGAGAGAGAACGACAGCAGAGCCACGAAGGACACGAAGTAGGCCACGAAGGGCGACAGCGGGGACACGAAGGGAATGCGCATGGGGCCACGAAGAGCGCGAATGAGCGTGGGCCACGAAGGGCAGATAATGCGGGGCCACAGAAGGCAACGATGGGGCCACTGAGGGTAGCAACTGGGCCACGTAGGACAATGAGGGGGCCACAAACGGCGACAGCGGGGTCACGAAGGGCATGCACATGGGGCCACAACGGGCGCGAACGAGCGGGGGCCACGAAGGGCATACGTATGTTGGGCCGCGGAGGGTAAGGACGGGGCCACTGAGGGCAGCAACGGGGACACGAAGGGCAGCGAGGGGGCCACGAAGGGCGACAGCGGGGCCACGAAGGGCATGCATATGGGGCCACCACGGGCGCGAACGAGCGGGGGCCACGAAGGGCATACATATATGGGGCCACGAAACAAAGCGAGGGGGCCACGAAGGGCTGCAACGGGGCCACGAAGGGCAGCGAGGGGGCCACGAAGGGCTGCAACGGGGCCACGAAGGGCTGCAACGGGGCCACGAAACAAAGCGAGGGGGCCACGAAGGGCTGCAACGGGGCCACGAAGCGAGGGGGCAACGCAGGAGAGGAGGCCACGAGGGGCTGCAACGGGGCCACGAAACAAAGCGAGGGGGCCACGAAGGGCTGCAACGGGGCCACGAAACAAAGCGAGGGGGCCACGAAGGGCTGCAACGGGGCCACGAAGGGCAGCGAGATCCCGATTCCTAGGTAATCTGTGAAGGAGTCCTAAGCGTGAGCGCGATGCCTGGGTGTCGTGAGCGCGGCGCTGGAGTAAATTGCAAGAAATTCCAACGCAAGGGCGCTATTCTTCAGTAAATTGCAAGCACGTCTCCAGCGAGAGCGTGACTCCAGAGCGCAGGAGGAACGATTCCTGAATAAATCGTAAGGAAGTCCCAGGCGAGAGCGCGATTCTTGAATAAAATGCGAGGAAGTCTCGGGCGGGAGCGGGGGTCCTGGCTAAATTGCGAGGAAGTCTCAGGCGGGAGCCGTTGTTGTTGTGACCCGGGGGCCAGGGGGCTAGTTTGAGCAGGAAGACTTTCCTTGACACAAAAACAAGGTGCGAGCCCCGGGGGGGGCACTTCAATTGAAAAAATCAATGCGCACCGGTGGGGGGGATCAACAATGATTATTCTTCGAGAATGACAGTTCAACAACAACAACACCAACAACAACAATCACAATCACAATTACAATCACAACAACAACACCACCAACAACAACGGCAACGACAGCAGCAGCAACAACCGCACCAACAACAACCACAACAACCACAACAACAACAACAACACCAACAACAACAGCACTAACAACAACAACGACAACAACAACAACAACACCAACAACAACAGCAACAACAACACTAACAACACCAACAGCAGCAGCAGCAACAACACAACAGCAACAGCAGCAACAACAGCAACAACGCAATAGGCAGAATCCTCACCACGGACCCTCACTTCAGCCACGCACCCAGGCGCAATGAATGACCGCTCGGCCCCCTCACCCTGACATGTATGGCGTTTCTTCTCCTTCGACCGAAACACCTCGACCCCCCTTTCTCCCTTGACGAGGCGTCAGAACGAGGTGCACCCGGGGCTTCTGTTGGTAGGCCTGCCGACGCTTCGACGAAGGCAACGACGCCCTAAAGACTCCGTGGCTCTGCCTGGGCCGCAGAGTCGCCCGCGAGCGTGCGGCCTCCGGCCGGTGCCAGGCTGGACGCGGGCGCTCCCTCACCTCCTCCTCCTCCTCCTCCTCCTCCTCCTCCTCCTCCCTTCGCTCTTCCTCCTCCTCCTCCCTTCGCTCCTCCTCCTCCTCCTCCTCCTCCTGCTCCTCCTCCTCCTCCCCGACGTCGCAGGCATCGACCGCCTGTCGCGATCGATCACGGCATCGAAGCTGGCGCCAGCCGAGGGCGCAGGCAGACCAGAGCCCGCGGCAGACAGGCAGCCGTCTGGCCCCAGCGGGAAAGGAGAAGAAGGACGGATGGAGGAAGGGAGGGGAGGAAGGGAGGGACGGAGAGGAGGCAGTGGCGGGAGGGAAAGGGAAGAGGAGGAGTAGGAGGGGAGGGAGGGAGAAGGGGCAGGAGGAGTAGGAGGAGGAGGGAGGAGGGAGGGAGGGAGGGAGGGAGGAGGGAGGAAGAGGAAGAGGAGAGGAGGAGGAGGAGGAGGAGGAGGAGGAGGAGGAGGCAGAGGAGGATGGAGGTCCCTTCGCGCTGTTTTTCCACACGGGTCGTTTTCGCCTGGATTCGGGCCGCGGGACACTCACAGGTCAGTCCAGCTCGAGACATGCCACAGGTGGGGTCTGGGGGTGGGTTCGTGAACTACACGGTGTTGAATGCTTCGTCGCGCTGGCGGATCTCAGGGGAGGAGGGTCGGAGGAGGAGGAGGAGGAGGAGGAGGAGGATAAGGAGGAGAAGGAGGAGGAGGAGGAGGAGGATGATAGGGAGACAGAAACGGAGGAGGAGGAGGAGGAACGAACGAACACCAATGAAGGCACATCTGTCTATAGTCTCTGCTTGGTGAATGGCCCCTGAACCGACAAACAGCCGAGGAGGGGGAAGAGAAGCGAGGGAGGATGATGGACCAGGTTTCGGACGCGTTTGGATCGTTGGGTCTCTGGAGCCTTTGAATGCCGCCGCGCCGCTTGTCCTGATAGGCGACGAGCCCAGGGGGGAAATGAGAAGGAGAAGGCCTTCTCAGAAGGCCGCGGGACTTCTTAGAAGTCCGGGGGGCTTCTGAGAGGTCTCCTTAGCCTATTTCGAATACAGACTGAACTTCTCAGAAGCCCTCTCAGAAGTCCGGAAACTTCTCAGAAGCCTCGGAAGTCCCGCCCCTTCCCATTTCCCCCCCGCGCCCGCCGCCGACCTGAACCCGCCCAAGTAGACGAACCCGGCGCCGCGGCAAACCCTGCGGCGAAACCTGCGAACCTGGCCCTGGCGGCCGCGGCGCCCTCTCCAAGATTGACTGCCGCGCGTCGGCACAAAACGGCCCGAGGGCCTCTGGGGACCTCTTCTTTCGTAACTTACAACTGCAGGCCGACCGACCGATCCGATCCAGAAAGAAGCGGTCCGACCGACCGATGTTCTGTCGCGTCTCGTGCGGCTGCTCTCAATACATGTTGTCTTGGATGGTCGGACTCCGCTTCCTCTTGTCCTTCTTCGTGTGCATCTCGTACAGTAGGTGCCCGAGGGCTGCGTCGTGGGCCTCCTGCACCTTGCCCCTGTCGTACTTGTTCAGCTTCTTCGTACTCCCCTCGGTGGGATACCGATCCACGTGGGGCCACCAAGTGCTGCGCAACCAGCTCGCCCAGGTCCACAACGTTGTCCGAGATGCACGTGGTCCAGAAGTTTCCCAGGAGCTCGTCGTGCACCAGGGCGCCAGTCGACCTCAAGATCGACTCTAGCATCTTGCCCTCCTGGAAATAGAGGATCCCGCGCCTCTCCAACTCGGGGTCCAAATCCTCCCTGAAAGCGGCCTTGAACTCCAGTCGAGGCCCCAATCCGCTTGTATTCGCTTCGTCATGCGCCTGCCGCAATTACTTGTTCAGCTTCTTCGCACTCCCCTCGGTGGGATACCGATCCACGTGGGCCACCAAGTGCTGCGCAACCAGCTCGCCCAGGTCCACAACGTTGTCCGAGATGCACGTGGTCCAGAAGTTTCCAATGAGCTCCTCGTGCACCAGGGCGCCATTCGACCTGAAGATCGACTCTAGCATCTTGCCCTCCTGGGAATAGGGCATGATCCCGCGCCTCACCTCGTTGTACAGCTGCATCTCGTTGGTGGTAGATTGGGGTCCAGGCCCTCCCTGAAAGCCGCCTTGAACTTCAGGTCGAAGGCCCGCTTCAGCGGGTCGCCCGAGTCCATATATCGGGGACCAGATAATCGGCCCTCATCTTGGCGTACACCTCGATCCGGTCGTGATTCCACACCAGGTGGACCTCACGCCTGATCAGCATCTGCGCCACGAGCTTCGTGATGCAATGGGTCCCCGACCTCGCTGCCATGCGGCGCCTCTCGACATCGCTGGCCACGATGGTCCTCCTCGTCGCGACACTCGACGCGTTCGCGAGCCGGAGCGGCCTGGCCATCCGTTTGGTCCGGTCTGGCCATCCGTCCGGCCTCCTCATCGGTGCTCCTTCTGTGGAAATTCGAGCTCTTCTTCCCGCGCCTCGCCACGCCTGGCTCTCCGCCGCCCGCCTGCCGCCAGCAGGGCACGAACGCGCCCGCGGCGATCCAGCAACCGGTGAGGCCCCTGCATGCGAGCACGGCAAGCGCCGGCGCGGCGGCGGCGTCTCATGGCCGCCGGCGCCGCCGGCGGCCGCCGCCGGGCGCGTCGGGCGCTGGCGCCAGCGGGGCCGAAGTCTCGCGCGCGGCAGCGGCGCCCCGCTCGCCCGCGCCGCCGCCGGGCCGCATGCTCGCCGCCGCGAGCTGCTCGCGCCGCGGCGGGCGGCGGTCTTGAGCCAGAATGGCTACGGGGCCGCTGGGGGCCACCTTTGGGGGCCTCGCCTCCGGAGGCACGCCAACGGCTCCCAGGAGCAGATGCCGAGGAGGTCCAGGGGCCCCGCGCTGAACGACACAAGCTGACTGCCTACCAGACCACCCCAACCCAACCCGAAGACCCGAATTCAGGGTCGGGGGGGGATACGGGCTTCATCTGCGTTTTTCCAAATTCCCCGATGCCCCCCCCTCCCCGACTGGTAATGGAGGGTACCAGTTGGGGCCTTCGGTGATCTGGTGGGTGGTGAGAAGCGTCGCAGGTCTGGGTGCCGACATCGGTTCAGGCTGCGCACGACACACGGCGGGGTATGCCTTGATACTGATGGCGCCCTGCTGGTCTCCGGCGTAGGCGTCGATGACCGCGACCTGTGCCTGGCGCCGCCGCCGATCGTCGGCAGACACGGGCGTGTCGTCCCTCGCGTGTTGTCATCGTTTGAAAGTTCCTTGCGTGCCCCGCCCTCTTCACGCCTCCGCCTTTCCTTCCCTCCCTCGCCTCAATCTCTACTCCCTTGCCCGCATCCGACCCCCGCGGATTTTTGCTCAACACGTGGGGCTCTGGAGATCCCCACCAGGTCTTTCGCACTGCTTTCGCGCCGTGGTCGCCATGGAAGGGCGGGGCCCTCGTGAGGGAAGTGGACCCCTCTGGGCCCGCAAGCGGTGAGGAACTTCCAGGACTAGGTCGGGCGTGTCCCCCCTACGGGCCGATTTTGGATGAAAAATCCAATGCTCCGGCAATAGGACCCCGCATGAGCTTAGCCCTGTCCTCCTCGCCCTGGTGGACACCCTCCTTTCGCCCTGTGCATTGCCCTCTCTTCCTCCTCCTTCTATTTCTCCCTTCCTCCTCCCCCTCCTCATCCTCCTCCTTCTCCACCTCCTCCTCATCACCATCGCCTTCCCCCTACCCCGTGCCCCGTCCTCATCCTCATCCTGCCCCTTCTCCATGTGCACATCCCCTTCCCCCTGGTCGGGGCAACCGCATCGATTTTCGACGGCGCCGTCGACGCCTCGGCCGGCGCGCGCGCGTTCGCGTGCGGCTGGATCGCGAAGCCTTTGGGGCAACCCCGCGGGACATGCCTTTGGGGCAACCCCGCGGGCCGCTGGGGCGCGCGGGCAGGCCATCGGGACAACCCCGCGGGCCAGGCCGTTGGGAAAACCTCGCTGGCCCCGAGGTAGCGGCCGCGCTCAGGCGGGGGGCAGCGCGAAGCCTGGCCGTGCTGCAAGCTGCTCCGCCTCACCCCTGAAGGTCTTCGCTTTCTCATTGAATTTCTTGAGCGCATTCCGCAACGGCGCCGGCGACCTGCGCCCCAGAAACTCACGCTAAGGCGGCCGCAGGATCAGCGTGTCCCGCGCGCACGGGGCGCGGGGGAAAGAGGTGCAGCCGCCACTTGTCGTCCGACATGCCCGTGCGGCCAGCGTCCTCGTCGCTCGCGCAGTCGATGGCGAGGCCGTTGCACAACGTCTGGCCCTGCGACAGCGTGGAGGTGAGGTAAGACGCGTGCGCCGGGGTGAACCCCGAGCGGCGCGCGACGTGCGGCCCCGAGCTCTGCCACGTAAGCTCTGCTCGCTGGGCCTCGACATGGGCACGCTCCTCACCCGCGCCTCGGCCTCGCCGTTGTCGTCGGCGCCTTCGGCGCCCTGTCGCAGCAGCTCGGCGACCTCCTCTGGTAGATCGGAGACTCCTTGAAACCGTGCACCTGCAGCCAGATTCCCTGTGGTGGGTACCGGGGGCGAAAGAGCTGGCCCGAAGCGCATTCCTCCTACTCCGCGGGAAGCCCGAAGAACCCCGAAGTGACGACAGTCCCGGGATTCACATGACCCCGCTCGGATGACCAACACAAGATGCGAGCCCCATATCAAAGGGGTTCCCGCCTGAGACTTTCTCACAATTCACTCACAGACGAGGCTCCCGCTTGATACTTCCTTTCTCCACATTCAAACTTGAGGAGACCCAAATGAGGACAGTTACAGGATCCCGATGGCCCGCTCGGATTACCAAGATGAAATGCGGGCCCCATGGGGAGGGGGCTCCCGCCTGAGACTTCCTCACAGTTCATTCAAAGACGAGGCTCGCGCTCGAGACTTCCTCCATATTCAAACCTGAGGCGGCCAAAAAGTGAGGACAGTTACAACATCCCCATGACCCGCTCGGATTGCCAACATGAAGTGCGGGCCACATAGGGAGGGGGCTCCCGCCTGAGACTTCCTCGCAATTCACTCACAGACGAGGCTCCCGCTCGAGACTTCTTCCAAATTCAAGCCTGAGAAAGCCAAAAATGATGACAATTACACGGTTCCGAAGAACCGCTTGGATTGCCAACGTGAAACGCGGGCCCCATAGGGAGGGGGCTCCCGACTGAGACTTCGCCACAATTCACTCACAATCGAGGCTCCCGCTCTAGACTTCCTCCATATTCAAGCATAAGAAAAGCCAAACGTGATGACAATACGTTCTGGATGACCCGCTCGGATTACCAACATGAAGTGCGGGCTCCATAGGGAGGGCGCTCCCACCTGGGACATCCTCGCAATTCACTCGCAGACGAGGCTCCCGCTCAAGACTTCCTCTATACTCAAGCCTGAGGCGGCCAAAACTGACGACAATTACAGGGTACCGATGATCCGCTCGGATTACCAACATGAAGTGCGGGCCCCATGGGGAGGGGGCTCCCGCCTGAGACTTCCTCACAATTCACTCAAAGATGAGTGAGTGAGCGAGTGATGGCGACGATGGTGATGATAGTGTGCGTGAGTGGGTGGGTGAATAAGTAGGTGAGTGGGTGAGTGTGAGTGATCATGGCGCGTCGGAGTGCGTGAGTGAATGAGTGTGAGTGTGAGTGAACTGGAATTCAATCGGATCGGCCGCGCCAGCATGCAAAACATCGCAATTCAAGCGTTGGGTCGCATCGGGTCGTGGAAACATCGCAATAGAATAGGGGTCAGGCCGGCCAGAATCGATGTCGGATCGAAGCCGTTGGGCCGAAACGGCCCCCGAGTGCAGTCAGGACCAGTCCACAACTGGCTCTAACGTGAGGCGCTTGAGGACATGCTACACTGCGCCCCCCCGTTGAGACGCACATGCGGCCCGAACGTCTAGCACGATCTCCTGCAGCACATCGTCTCCCGAACGGTGTGGCCAGCACGCGCCCGCCGCGGAGCCTGTGCCGAAAGACCTCCGAGCGTGCGCGTCGCCCTGGCGTGACCGACGCGCAGCTGGCACAGAGCTTGGCGGATGCCGAGGATGGGCCCCGGGGCCCCTCGGCGACTCCCCGGGGACTGGCCCTCGCCCTGGATCTCTCTTCGGCTGCCCCGGAGCCCGCATCACGGCCTCCGTCCGCCGAGGAGCATGCAACGCGTCTCTCCTTCTTCGCGCAGGGCGTCGGATGTCTGCTCGGATCCCCGCGGGGGGGGGGTCCGAGGGAACGGGAGGGGGTAGAAGCGGATGCTGATATGCGGACTCTGCAGGTTCCCCGAGCGGTGCTTGCACGTGGGGCTTCTCACTCCCTGTCTGAGAGGAGCTGGGCCTGGGTGTTGGCCTGGCGGCTATGCTCTCGCCGTCGGCGTCCCGTCGCCGCACGTCGCTGGGCCTGGGTGTTGGTCCGGCGGCTATGTTCTCGCCGTCGCCGCCTGTCGTCTGTGCCTGGGTGGTCGTCTGGCGACTATGTGCGCGCTGTCGCCGCCCCGTCGCCGCCTCGTCCCCGCCCGTCGTCTGGGCCTTGGGGTCGGTCTGGCAGCAATGTTGTCGCCGTCGCCGCCCGTCGCCGCCCCGCGGCTGCCTCGTTGCCTCGCTTGTACCTTGTACCACATTGATTGAACAACATAGATTGCACCACATAGTTGGTATCACCTAGACTGCTCCACATAGATGGCGCAACCTAGATTATGCCACATAGCGTGCACTACGTAGACTGTACCACACAGATTGCACTACATAGACTGCACAACACACACATTGCACCACACATATTGCACCACATAGACTGTACAACACAGATTGCTAGACACATCTTGTTTGGGCTCCACGCTAGCTAATCCACATATACAGATGTCTGGACAGATGCATACACATATCTATATATATATATAGGCATATATATATATATATATATATGTATGTATACGTATGTGTAGGTATGCTTACAATTGTATGGCCTAACCCAGTTCACCAGTGGGTTACGAGTGCCCTGAATGCTGAGGGGGGCCGATAACTCGGCTAAGCGGGCGGCGCCCGCATAGCCCGGATCTCTATCCCCCTCTAAGCCAACTGGGGCACTTGCAACCCACTCGGCCCGATACTTTGCATCTTAGAATCCAAATCTACCATTATATTCGCTTAGCACTCCCCAGCGGTGATCCAAGTGGGCGGCTCAATTATCTGCATCCTCCATGTGCTGCCATGTGACAGCCAGAAGGCGACGGAGGTGTCTGCATATATATATATATATATATGTGTGTGTAAACGCACATATGTGTGCAGATTTCCTTGTTTCGTGGTGGTGGTTGCCGCAGCCGCCGCCGCCGTCGTCGTCGTCTCTTTTTGATTGTTTCTTTCTCTCTCTCTCTCTCTCCCTCTGTGTGTTTCTCTCTCTCTCTTTCTGTCTCTCCGTCTCATCTACCCTCTGTACATTGATTGGTATGTGCATCGCCAAATGTTCTGTCAGCGCGACACGCGCCGCTGCACGTGCACGCATCGCTTCGCGGCAAGACTGTGCAACTGCTGCGGAAGAGCGCTTCGCAAGGGCGACGCCCGAGGCAACAAGAAGAACGTGAGCGGCACACGCGCACCCCGCTCCTCTTCCTGGCTCCTGATCTCCTCGGGGGCGTCCAAGAAGGGGGCGTCCCAGCGGGGGGGTCGCAAGCCATGGCCGCCCGAGGCACTCGTGCGCGGCTCAAGAGGGGGGGCCAGGGGGCGCATCCAAAGAAGAAGCGGCCATGAATTCCCGAGAGATCTCACGGCCATGGCCATGACGAGGTGGCGACATCCGAACTCGACCCAAACCAACCGCCGATTCTCCTGCATCGCTGGGAGGCGGGGGTGGGCTTCAAAGTTCGTCACGTGTTCGACGAATGCTGAGCTCTCGAGTCGCCCAAATCGCTGATCGGCGAGGGTGTGGTTCTCCTTCCGCTGTTGAATGATCTCCCCCACAATCATCACCACCCTTCCGGGCCGCCCCCGAACTCCAGCACCCCCGGCCTTGTCACCGCTGGCCGGCCCGAACGTGTGGGAGGCGAAGGTGGCGGCCATGGACTGGTTACCCTTCTTGAACGGAACGAGCACCAGCGTGGAGGCGACGAACGGCAA